TGTGTGTGTGTGTGTGTGTGTGTGTGTGTGTGTGTGTGTGTGTGTGTGTGAAGTCAATACTTTTTAAATGATCACCAACCTTATTGAGAAGCCTTTGTAGTACAGGTAAGAAACTTTTATGTCTCTACCTGACCTTTCATAAAATACGTTTTACACTTTTACTTTATTTTGTTCTTATTTGCAAGCCAGCTGCATTTTGAACATGGGTCAGAACCCTCGGTTACCACATTTACCATCCTAACTTGATAGCAGTGGAGCTAGATAGTGAAAAGGTTAATGTCAAACTTTGATGATGTGATTTCTGTTTATATTCATAGAATCCTAGCATTGGAAGGGATTCTGAAAGTCATAGTCCCATCCCTTTGATGGAATCCTAATAAGGCTGCTCCCAGCCCCAATATTCTAACTTTCTTATGGGCCTCATTGAACAGCAGGCATATTCTGATTTAACCACACAATCTGGCTTTTACTGCACCACAGGCCCTCAGATTCAATCGTGGGCCTCACTGAAGAGCAGGTTCACTGCCCCTACCTAACCACTGCCACCTGACTCAATATTCTAACTTCCTCACATATGTCTCATTGCCTCACTAGAATAGCAGGCGTGTCCATGAAGTTATGCCCCACTAGAGCAGCAAGCATGTCCATATGATGGAATCCTAGCCACTGCCTCTAGCTAGCCTCTGTCCCCAGACCCATTCCTCATATTCGTCACAGAAATAGCCGGTATGTCCATGCACTTGACCATAACCACATTCATCTAATTTCAGACAGGACCACAATAGTCAGTCAATCAGAAAGCAGCACCACCAGGATGCCCAAGCAGTATATGGACCCCAAAACAATAAATAATAACATAATAAAACAAATGACTATAAATAAAATAAAATAAAAGATTAAAATGATTTTAAAATTTCCCTAAGTACGCACCTGTGCAGTAATAACGAAAGCTGTCCTTTAGGTGAACTTATGATGTAGAGAGGATTATTATAATATCATTATCATACATTCATGCCCGCCCAAGGGGTTTTCCTGTATGCATTGTGGGTAATCACATGCACAGTTCCCCTGAGCCTGGGACCTCTCCTATATTACCTAATCCCTTGACAAACCCCTCATGCCTTTTTAATATTCATAATTTCTGTTGCATAATCAGCACCATTGCACTACAATATTGCCTGTCTTATCTTTTTTTTTTTTCCTATCTTGCCTTACTGAAGTTGCTGGTTCCTCTTGGAACTCATCCTGCTAGAGAGGTGTCACTCTCAAAAAATGCCTTTTCTTAGATTGGAGATGGTCTAAGTCTGTGAATTCATTCAAGACAACCCCCACAACACAACATGAAACTGCAAACACCTTATCCCATGCATCAATCCCTCTATAGACTCCTCTGTGAGGGTTTGTGTTGCATAAGTAATATTTATAATTTCATATTGACAGATACTTTTTTGTCATCTTAAAATGCATCTTTTTTACATACTATTAAAGCTAATTTGGGGGTATACCTTTTAAAAATGAATTTTTATTGATGACTTTTGTTTTTTATGTCATCCTTGTCCAAAAACATGCAATTCCACTTTTGATTGTGTGTGTGTGGTTGTTTACCACTTATGTTGTTATAGTTATTATATATTGTTTTCTTGGCTTGGCTTCCTTTACTCCATCAATTTATGTAGTCATTTCCATGTTCCTCTATATTTATCACACTCATCATTTCTTATAACTATAACTATAACTATAACTATAACTATAACTATAACTATATATACATATAAATATATGTAATATCACTGTATTTCCTTGTATTCATGTACCACAATTTGTTTAGCCATTCCCCAATCTATGGGCACCTATTTTGTTTTTAATTCTTTGCTATCACAAAAAGTGCTGCTATAAATACTTTTTAATAGTTGCAATCAATTTATTAAAAGAGATGATTGACTAGGCATCTGCAATGGTGACTTCAACACCTGGTTCAATACTGATAGAAGTGATCTGTTTAACAGTTTCAGAAGGACTGTGCAAATCAATAAAGTGTTTGTGGATTCTCATCTGGAACCCAACCCAAGTCTTTGAACCTTCACCACAAGGAATTTTTCTAGTTGTGATTCAAAGTGTCTTGGTGGGCATTCAAACAGGTAGGTCTCTTCACTTTCAAGTGCCTTTCTTTAGTTCCTCTAATTAGGTCAGCACACACTTTCTCCAGTGATTTCACATTGTCGCTGGTGATGGTGATTCAGATCTGGTCAGTGGCCACTTTGGTCTCCGCAAGTGTCTTGCCCATGTCTGAGAATGCCATGGCAGTGGAATGGCTTCCTGACTGACTTATTCCTCTGTGAGACTGAACAGCAGTGAGTTAGGAGGAGGAGAGTCAAGGACTACCGATTCCACGTGCCTGCAGTGGTGGTACCTTCACCAAAGAGCTATAAATATTTTGATGTATATGGGGTCTATCTTCTTCTAGGTACAAGTCTAGTAACGGAATCTCTGGGTCAAAAGGATATGCATATTTTAGTTACATTATTTACATACTTCAAAATTGCTTTCCAATTTCATAGCTCCCCTAACAATACGTCAGTGTACCTATAGTTCCACAACCCCACCAACATTGAATATTACCATTTTGGGGCATCTTTACCAATTTACAGAGTGTGATATGAAACCTAAGAGTTGATTTGATTTGCATTTCTCTTGTCATTAGTGATTTGAATCATTCTTTCATGTGGTTGTTTATAGTTTACAATTCTTCCTTTGGGAAATGTTTATTCATATTCTTTGACCACTTATCTATTGGGTAATATAATTATACTATTTAAAAAAAAATAAGATCACTGTTACTTCCTAATGGTTTCCTTTAAATGAACCTCTCCCTAGTAACAAAGAGTTAGAGTTTAATAAAAACAAACCAATACATCAGACAGTTCCCATAATATATGCCCTCATTCCTTGTCATTTTCTTGTCACTCTCAGTCCTCTAAAGTCATGATATCTTATAACATAAGATACAAATCTTCCTTGCTGTTTCTTATGCCACAATAATATTTCATATACCACAATTTATTCCACCATTCTGTAATCGATGGATACTTACTTTCCTTCCAGTTATTTGCTACTACAATAAAAGCACTGCAATAAATATTTTTGTATATGATGGAACTTTTAGGAAGCATGGTGCAATGAAAAGAATTTTACTCCCAACTTTGCTACTAATTCAATGTTCATGTTAACAGGTGAGTCCCTTCACCTTTCTGGGTCTCAGTTTCTTCATCTATAAAATAGGGAGATTGAACTAAGATGGTCTCTAAGGTCCTTTGTAGTTTTAACACTCTATGAACTTGGATTAGAGTATGAACAATGGCAAATGAAGTGCCTACGAGCCCAACTGAACAGTTTGGAGAGACCAAGGATTGGGATTGGATTAGGATCTCTTCATGATGCTAGAACCCCAGATCCTGGTTGTGCAATGCTCCTGTTATCTTTTTGGCCTCCAGACAGTGACCATCCCTGCTACAGTAGTGATCTAAGGATAGGAATAGCTACTACCAAGAAATTCAAAAGAAGGAGAAAAAAGTAGGAGAGATGAGCTGTGCAAGATTTTGGAGTTCATCTCTTCCCACAAATGCAAATTTCCTCAATTCTCCTTCCAACTCTAACATTGGTTGAATATTAGACACTACTGTGGCCCAGCCAACAGTCTGTAGAAGTCCATGAGAAGAAATTCAGCTCTGACAAGATTCCTGTTGTTCAATTCTCAAGAGTCTGTGCCTGGGGCAAAATAAGGGTTACTGGGTTCTCCTGAAAGGAGACTAGCAGAACTTCTGGGAACCAAGAGAAACTGAATTCTTCTCTGAAGTGTGTAGGACCATGGCACCTCATGGGGGGTGAAGGGAAGGGGAGGTCACTAGGAAAGGTTTCACATAGAAGGTGGCACTTGATCTGAGTCTTCAAAAGAAGCTAAGATTCTCCATGGCATTATCAGGGATTTTAATCAGATAATTGGAGATAATCATTCTAATATGATAAACTAGCAGTAAGCCTTACCATAGTTAAAAAATACTTGTCTCCAGGTGTCCTTTAATAAGTTATTCTAATGAAAGTCAATTTGGACGCCATGACAAAGCTAGTGGGAGAGACAGACATTGATGAAGAAATAGAGGTGATTAGTTTATATGGGCCATACATTCAGTAAGTTTTAATGTGATAGCCAGAGGGTTATTCAGAGAGGATATGAGATAAACAAAGTCCTTTTATTGAGTTAACTTCCAGTGGATTAAAATATTACATTAGTAGTAAGTTAATAAAAGAGCCTTTTTTTTACTTGATAACTTTTCCTTAATTTTCTTTTAACTTGTAAACTTTTCCCCCTGAAGGGTAGAAAAATGCTCTCTACTCTTTTTTTTTTGGGGGGGGGAGGCATTTGGGGTTAAGTGGCTTGCCTAGAGCCACACAGCTAATAAGTATCAAGTGATCCAAGTGTCTGAGGTCGGATTTGAACTCAGGTCTTCTGGACTCCAGGGTGGGTGCTCTATTCACTGTGCCACCTAGCTGCCCTCTTTCTGTTCTTTGGTACTAATAATTTTCTTGACCTCAACTCAGATTTTTCTGATAAAAAAAAGGAGTCTATCAGTTTTGGGGTAAAATTTGGTTTAATACTAAAGGGTTGCAAGATGAATCTTAATTTAAAATTGGAGACTATCTTTTACTTTTTTCGATTGAAATCCTCTCTATTGAAAAAAGAAGGAAAAACAAAAATCCTTGTAAGTTGTATAGTCAAGAACGGCAAAACCAAGTGCTTTTTTTCACCACAAGGAAGGCTTGACATACTTACAAGCTTTCTTAGGCTAAATATGCGGAGGTTTGGGGATTTTTTTTTTCTTGGCATGAAAGCTGTAAGTGGTGAGTGAACACTGGAGTAAAGTGTAAACAAAACATGAGATGAACCAGCGTCCAGAGGGCGGAAGTGAGGTCTGGGAAAAGAGAGAATTCAGTCGGAGAGTAGAGCCAGAGTCTCTGTGCCAGGAGGAGAGGAGAGGGCTACAGAGAGCTGTCGGGTTCTGCACCGGCGACTCTCTGAGGTTCACTATTTATATGATGACATTTGGCCTCATCACCGCCTCCTCATTTGCCTGGAACCAAATTCTCTCTGGGTGTGCCTGCTTTAGGAAAGCCCCTGGTGGCAAGGAGCCAAGTGTAGCTCAGCTTTGGGTAGAACTGTCTCTTTTCCATCTTCTGCGCCCATCCCCTTAAGACCCAGGATTTAGAGCTGGAAGCCTCCTTGGAGAGAATAATTTAGCTGAAGTCTCTCATTTTACAGACACGAACGAAGAATCCCAGAGAGGGAAGTGATTTTCTAAATGTCTCACATCTAGTAAGTAGCAGAATCGGAATTCGAACCCAAGGCAAGTTGCCTTCTCTCCAGCCTTGCTTTGCTCCATTTTCCAGCCCGGTTTGGAGGGGAACTGGGGAGAGGAGATGGAGGAGGAATCACCAGACTCCTTGTTCTGAAATTTCCAGTTTGTACCCCCTCTTGGCCATTGGCCTGGAAGAAAGTGCGGAAGTAGTGGAATTCCCCTCGGGGAATTGTAAACTTTGGACTCAGCAATGTGGGCGGGAATGAAGAGTTACCCGGGACTAAGAGAAGGAGAAGGAAGTGTGGTTTCTCTCTCTCTTTCTCTGTCTCTCTCTTCTCTGTCCTCTTCCTCCCTCCCTCCTTTCTTCCCTGCCCACCCCGCCTGCCACCCGTCTGAACTGGTTGCAGTTTGGACGTCCAGCTGTGGGGTGAAAAGGAAAGGGACTTCGTGTGTTCCATCATTCTTTCCTGACCCTGCCCTGCGCTACCTCATCTCCCCAGACTCTCTCACTTCCCAGACTGGTAGGAGCGATTCAGAAGAGGCGGGGCAACTACAGACATCCCCTCCTTCCTCCAGGCGGCACATCCCACAGCCTTGCATCCCGCACCCCGTGTCCATCCAGCCTGTAGCTGTTGTAGTCCAACTAGCTGAACTGAGCGCACCTGGACCTGTCTAATCCAGACCTAAGGAGCGTCCTGGGGCCTTAGGTACGTCTACTGCCTTTCCCGGGAGTTGTACTAGGTAGGGGTGCCCTTGGGGAAGTTCAGGGATCAGGTGGGCCCATCCCTGGAACCCTCGAATCGTATGGATACAGGGCTTAGCTTTTGGCGTCTCTAAGCCTAAGGCTGGAGCTGGTGAAAGTGAAGGCTTCCTTCCCTTAAGGCGCAGTGTGAGGACTGTTGGGCAGCTTACTGAAACTGTTCAGTTTCCTTTTGCTAGTCCATTAAAAAAAAAAATCTCAATCCTGGGCTCACGTCGGCCGTGAAAATTGAGCCTCTACTCAGATAATGGGAAAAAGAAAAGAAAAGAAAGAAAGAAAGAAAGAAAGAAAGAAAGAAAGAAAGAAAGAAAGAAAGAAAGAAAGAAAGAAAGAAAAGAGAAAGAAAGAAAGAAGCCCGCCCCCCTGAGCCTGTTATCTTTGGTACCCAGATCTCCAGTGCCTGGGGACTGGAGTCAAACTCTGGTTTTAGGTCACTGCCGAAGAATGTAAAAGTGAAATGAATGACTGAAACAGGATCGTAGATTTGGAGCTGAAAGGAGTCTAGGCCAACCCCTTTAATTATTTAATTTAGTTGAGGGAAATTAAGACCTAGAACGATTCAAGTGACTAACCCAAAGTCAAAGTCAAAATTTGCAACTCAATGTCAAAGACAGGATTCAAGCCTAGCTTTTCAGACTCCAAATCAAGCGCTCTGTCCACAGTAGGATCTAACCTACCTTAGAATATCCAGGCCAACAGCCTCATTTTGCAGATAGAGACACTAAAGAACAAGCAACCGTTAACTATTGTCAAACCACTACAAAGTATTCGTATAATAGAAGGAGACTGTTCTCCAATTAGGAAGGACTTTTAAAACCTGTTTGCTTTTTGGGGTGGAGGTGGGAGGCTGAAAAGAAAATGATTTGAAGTGTGACCATCCTGGTCACATAAAGAAGAAAAATCACCAAATTGAGAGATTAGGAGACCTGAGCTCTAGTTCAATCTTGACTAGCTGTGTGATCTGCTTGTCAGGAAGGTGGGATTTTAAATCTTTTCTGGGACACTTAAGAGTTGGGCAAATCACTTCTTTCTCAGCCTCAATTTCCACATCTATAAAACAGAGATAATTATAGCACCTAACTCAAAGAGTTGTTGAACAGATCAAATGAGATAATATATATTAAATATTTTGCAAACCTTAAAGTACTATATAAATGCTAGCTATTACATACTAGCCATTATTATGTCTCAGTTACCTTATCCACTGAAGGGAAGGACTGTTGGATTTGAAGTTAGAAGACTGTGAACTTTTCAAGGACAAAATGAATATGAGGTAATTTGAGGGGGTTGATAATAGCACCTCATGGGGGGTGAAGGGAAGGGGAGGTCACTAGGAAAGGTTTCACATAGAAGGTGGCACTTGATCTGAGTCTTCAAAAGAAGCTAAGATTCCAGATGCATTAAGTCTCTAGGCCTCAGCTTCCTCATCTGTAAAGTGACAGGCTTAGACTAGATGATCTCTAAGAGCCTTTGCAGCTCCATAGGTCCTTTTGTAAAATTCTATAAAATGAAGTGATTGGACTAGCAGGTTTTTGGTCCCAACATTTTATAACTCTATTCTAAAGATGGCCTCTGGACTGCTCCTGGTTAACTAATGGTATAGGGAAGGCACAATCAACCTTGATTTGCTCTTCTGGGTCAGCCAGATGTATGTGATGAAATAGGGGAAGTTTCCTTCCTGTTTTTTTCTCTCTCTCCTTTCTCCTACTACTAATCTTCCCTTCCTTCCTCACCCTTGTGCTCAACCAAAGATGCTCATATTTTCTTTCACTTCTCCTTATTGAAACTGATTCCAGGGGAGATGTCATATTGAAAGGATTTATCCAATGTGTCCAGGACCAGGTGTTGATAGCAGATAAAATATAGTGTATTTTCTGAAGTTCCCCTTTAAGACTTCCTCTTCTCAAAGTACAAACTTGTGCATTGGTGTATTAGATGGAAATTAGAGATGTTAAATGTCTGTTGGAAACTGGAGGCTGAGTAAACTGCTCAATTAAGAGAGTGGAATAGCGCTGATGTTTCCTGACTCATTTGCCTATTGTTGAGTTATTTTCCTGGAGGCATACATAGAATGACATTCAACTAAAATTTGATAGAACAAGCAAAATAATAATAATAATGATAATGGTGATGATTTATGTATTGCTTTTACTCTGTGTGTATCTTGGAAGTGCATAGGTATTTTCATGTCTTCATTAGGAGGTGAGCTCTTTGAGGGCAGGGACTGTCTTTTACCTTTCTTTGTATCCCTGGTGCTCAGTACACTGCCTAGCACAAGGTGAGTGCTTTTGACTGACCAATTGACCTATATAAATTATCTTATTTGATCCTCACAGCAGTTCTTTGATTGTCATTCTTGTCCACTGAGGAATGTCCAAGTGAGGAAATTAAGTCCCCTGAGATGTTGGGTGATTTGCCCAAGGCTATACAGCTATTAGTAGTAGGCAGTGGTGTTGGGAATGGAATTTAGGTCTTCTGTGTTAAAGCTGAGTATTTGTTGTGGCTGTTTGCAGTTTACAAAATTTTAAAGTTCTACTAGGACTGCTCATTTTAACCATCAGTTCCACTTCCCAATAATTTCAGCATCTCTCCTGAGTTCTCCCTTTTAACAAGGAAGTATTCTAGGGTTCTTTCTGTTTCATAATGACACTCTCATATTTCTTATGAGAAACTGAAAAAAATTAACACAAAAGAGCAAAAGTAGTTTGGGAAATGACATTTATTAATTAATTATTTAATTCATTCATTCATTTATTTGTTTGTTTGTTTGTTTGTTTATTCATTCATTCATTTATTTATTTATTTGGCTAGGCGATGGGGTTAAGTGACTTGCCCAGAGTCACACAGCTAGTAAGTGTTATGTATCTGAGTTCAAATTTGAACTCAGATCCTCCTGAATCCAGGGCCAGTACTCTATCCACTGTGCCACCTAGCTGCCCCTCTGGGAAATGACATTTATACTTTCCCCCTGCTGTAATGGTGCAGTGGAAAGAGGGTTGGATTTGAATCTCAGGACCTGAGTTTAAATCCCACCTCTGCCGAAAGTCATTACCAGTGTGAGTTTGGGTAAAATTACATGGCCAGTTGAGTCTCAGTTTCCTCATCTATAAAATGAGAACTTTGAAGTAAATGACCTTTCAATTTTCTTCCAGCTCTAAATATGTGATTCTATGATAATGAGAAAGTGTTTTATAAAAATTCAATTCCTGGCATGTGCAGTGGGAAAGGACCTTGGGTTGAAAGTCAGAGGACTGATGAAGATTAATGGTCAAGATTAAGCATCATCATGAGTCAATCCAGAACACCAACTCCTGACTTTTCTGGAACTTACTCTCAGGCTTGTTGGATATAGACCAGATTTTAAGTGGTCCCTATCAAATCAAAAGTACTCCTATAGGGATGGAAAAATTGCCCCTTAAGTCATCATCGTCACCACTCAGTCTAATAGATACTGTATTTGAAGTTAAAGTTAGACTCAAAAATGTTTTTTTTTCTTTTTTTCCTTTTTAGGCAATTGGGGTTAAGTGACTTGCCCAGGGTCACACAGCTAGTTAAGTGACATGTTTGGTCTGAGGCCGGATTTGAACTCAGGTCCTCCTGACTTCAGGGCCGGTGCTCTATCCACTGTACCACCTAGCTGCCCCAGACTCAAAATTTTGAAAAATTACTTAATATTAATCTGGAGCTGAATCAAAAGATACTGTCACAACAACAGGAGCTAATAGCAAAAATTGCCCAACATGATCATGACATTCTAGCAGCCTCCTACCTGGCTTGGTCCACTGAAGCCACTCAAAAGATGTGTGCAGAGATGGTTGCTAAATATGACCATCTCATGGTCTAGTGCTGCTGCCTACGATGCTATGTGAAAAAGCATGGTCATGGCCCACCCAACTCAATACTTTTTGCCCAGGAGAATTTCACATCTGAACCCCCTGAAAGGAAGATAAAATCCCAACAGATCTAAGCAAAGCTCACAAGCATTTGCTGGAAACAACTTGCCTTACAGGAGAAACTTCTCAAAACCACAACTTGATACACAAAAGTTTCTGAAATCTTCTCCCATTTAGGGGGTACTGGAGCAGCATTCCATGCCTTAGCACAAGTGTTTGCTCAAATAGGTGAGAAAGAGAAAAAACTTGATAATGTTTATGGTGAGTTTATGGCATCATTAGTAGATGGTAACGTGGCCCACGCTGCTGTGCTTTCAAAGCATTGTGATCCATTGACCGAGGCTGAAACCCCAGTCCCTCAAAATTAGTAAACATGATATCCTACGTGCTTCCTGCAAAAGTCTAAGTACCTCCCCATCCTAAAATTAGCTGTGGATGGGTATGCTTATATTTAGTGCCATCGGGAGACTTTATTGGCTTAAAAAGTTAATTATTAAAATCCGTCATCACTGATTATTAGACCAACTGAGAGCTTTCCATTACATGTAATTTCTTTCCACTTGTCCACAATGGTAACATCAGTTTTACTAGCCTTATCCCTTCTCATTTTTATTAAGGAAAAACAAAAGAAAGTCAGAGGACTTTGGTTTAATTCTTGATTCTGCTACTTGTTACTGGGTGACAAGGTATTTCACCTGTCTGAGCTTCATTTTCCTCATTTGTATAATGGACAAGAGCAGTGGTGTCAAACTCAAACAAGAAGTGGGGACCACAGTCCCATACATGAGGATCCCTGAGACAGCTTATTGACTTAGATAACCACATTTGACATTATCTTTGTTCTACTGTATTTTTATTTATTTTGTTCAGTATTTCCCAATTACATTTTAATCTGATTCAGGTCCCGCTTGGGGGTGCTATGGCATCCACTGACATTGTCTGGCACCCCGGGCTTGATCTCAAAGATTCCTTCCAGTTCTACATCTATGATCCTGTATAAATATGAGTTATTATGGTTAGAATGAGAAAAATATCCCAGAAAAAAAAGTTGCTAAAGTTCTTTTCCCATTGTTTCATTTTGGGCATTGCTTGGGTTTTTTTTTCTTCAGATTACAGTTTTACTTCATTTATTTTGAAAATAAAAATCTTCCCTTCATTCCAGTTCTTGAAAATGGTTTATTTTGCATGGTAGCCATGGCCACAAGCTTACCATAGGGATCTTTTACAAAAGGCAAATCCTCTTATTTACCTTGTCTGTGTGATTTTACATTTAAACCAAGGAACATTGTCCTGGGAATCAGAAGTGATGCCTGAGTTGCAAATTTATCTGCAGAAAGAAAGCTAACAGCTTTGACATTCTTCCCTGCTTTTCCACCCTCATTCCTGAATTCATTACCTGGATTATACCAGTAGCCTCCTATCTTTTCCTCTTTCAATTTAACAAATATTTTTTAAATGTTTATTTTGCCCAGGGCACCCAGCATTGGGAGATTTACAAAGATGAAAAAATACATGGTCTCTGACTTCATGTCCCTGCTTTCTCTTTAGCAAAAGTGTTATTAGGCTCCCTCTGTCTGGAACATCTTCCTCTTCACCTATCCAAAGCTTCCTTATCCAAAGCTTCCAGGAGTCCTGTACCTTTTTTTTTTTAAATTTTATCAATTTATTTTGATTTATCAAAAATTACTTCCATATGCTTTTGAGTTGAAAGTTTTTCTCCCCCTTTCTCCCCCCACCCTCCCCAAGATGATGCTCTACACTTACATTCCTATTAAACATATTTTCACATTAGTGAAGTTGTAAGTAAAAATTAAAACCATAGAGGACCCATCAGAAAGATGAAACAAAACTCAACAGAAGGCAAAAATAAGTGATAGCATTCAACTTCCGTAGTTCTTTCTTTGGATGTGGACAGCATTTTCCATCCCGAGGCCTCTGGAGATGTCTTAGATCCTTGTAATCTGAGAAGGGTTCAGTTTAACAATATTAGTCATTGCATAATGGCTGTTATTGTGTACAAAGTCCTCTTGGTTCTGCTCACTTCACTCAGCATCAGTTCATATAAGTCTTTCCAGGTTTTTCTGAAGTCAGCCTGTTCATCATTTCTTATAGCACAATAGTATTCCATTACATTCATATACCACAACTTGCTCAGCCATTCCCCAATTGATGGGCATCCTCTCAATTTCCAATTCTTTGCCACCACAAAAAGAGCTGCTATGAATATTTTTGTACATGTGGGTCCTTTTCCCATTTGTTTGATCTCTTTGGGATATAGCCCTAGAAGTGCTATTGCTGGATCAAAGGGTATGCACATTTTTGTAGCCCTTTGGGCATAGTTCCAAATTGTTCTCCAAAATGGTTGGATCATTTCACAACT